ATTTATCATTATTCATCTTTTGTCGAAAAATACCGTATAAATATCGTTATTTTTAATTTATCAACGTCATACCACCCGGGCGAAAGGCATGGGCTTTGTTCCCGTTTGTTTTTTATTTTTTCACTTTTCCGCAATAAAAAAAAAAAAAAAAAAATTAATAATATATTATACGTGCCGCGTTTTGTTGCCTACTTTGGGATCGTGTTACGTTATATTTTTATTGCGTATACGTATACCATATTTTATAATATATTATTGTTACACCCGTGATATTTTTCAAACACAATAGCAATTATTATTTTATCGAACATTATCGAAACACGCGAAAACGTATTGTATAGATTTAGACGGAGGGCCCATACGAATATTTCACATCTTGTGGACGAGTGGAAGGGGCGAAAAGGCGATACGATATTTTCAAAATCAAAAATTCGATCACTATGCACTTAAAACTGTTCGCGCCGTATAGATGTGAGAGCAGCGCGTAGGGTTTTGGATAGACAAGTAAGTTTTAGGTGATTTTTAATAATAATAATTAAAATTTTAAAATAAAAACGATTTTATATTTTTGCATACGTTATCGGACAAAGCGTCGAAATTCACGTGATCCATAATATTATAATGATTATTCGCACGTTATTCCGTTTGGACTATTATCAAGACTCAGTCGATGTGATGAACGTACGTTATAAATCAAAAACTCGCGCGTTCCAAAACATCGACTTAAAAAAATAAATAAAATAGCGACTAAAATCTCGGCTTTTGGCGGCGGTTTCGATTTCCTCGGTGTAAATTGCGTAGGATAAGGAAAACACATTTATTGCGCACGCCGAACGCCTTTCCCGGTTTTATCGTTCACGCGTTTACCGTTGATTTTTCGAAACGGGCCGGGTTCCGATTCCGCGCAATATTATCATCGGGTATAGGTCACGATTATAGCCCGCTGTAGGCCACGTATTAATATCATTAATGATTATAATATGTCGGACCGAGCGATATCCAGATGTCCTAATTGTACGACGAGATAGTGTGCAGATGATGCGAGAGCGTATCGGGCATAGGTACACGGTTATACAGCATCAATTAACATAATTACAAAACAAAATCTAATATAATATAGACAAGGACGACCACAGCCGCATGTGTGTTAGGTGTATAGTAGGAATAATAATAATAATAATAAAAATGTATATTTACAATATCAACTATTCGCCTCGTTAATTTATTCGTGGTTTTTTTTTTTTTTTTTTAATGAATTTAACACTGTAGTATAATATTCTACGCGCTATAAATAAATACGTAGGCGTCTACTCGTTTAAATAATTTTATCGCGATGAATTAAAATAAAAATTACTAACGAGTAGAGTAACGAATAGGCATCTACATAAAACACGTCGTCGTATTCGTCGCGCGAAGATGCAGTTATTACAGAACGGTGCAACGGCGCATTTCTAATTTCGTTTCGTGTAGGTATACTGCACAAACTATACACAATATCTATTTAAAGAATTCAAATATTAATAAAAACCGTACGTGACATTGGCTCTATTGTACATAATACTGTGCAAATATATTTTCCGATATTTTAAAAAATATACAATGTTAGTGGGTCCCTTTTTATTTTTTTATGAAATCAATAACTCCTAAGTGAAAGATACAGATAGAACTAGTTCGAAATAACTTTTTTTAAAAATCCAGATATTTTTTCAGATGTTTATGTTATCGTTTTATTGTTGGCGCGAAAGAAAAAATAATAAGGTTAGCTGTTTGTTAATTTCTACGAGTTTAAGAGATTTTCGGATATACTGAGTATATTATTATATAAGGATAAATATTAAAGTCTTAAACATTGCAAAAACGCGTGTTACAATGTTTGCATACAGGAAAATTTAACTCCCACCGGGCGCCGTATAGTGTTGATATGAAAATCGGAAAAAATTGCAGGTTTTTATAAAAAATATTCTGAACTAGTTTATTCACTTAGAAACTTTAAACTCCCGAAAAAACTCAAACAAGAAACGCTTTAATTTATACTCGTTGAATGCTCTGAATATTTTGACAGGCACGTCGTGCGGCGATTATCGATCACTATGATATTCGACCGGTAGGAGGGGGAAGGTGGTAGAATTTCATTTGAGAAAATATTAAGGGGATAATATCATTACCTAGTGAAATGTTACACCACCAGTTTGATTTCTCCGATAAAATTTTACTCTCAGGTCACATTTTTCTAGTGAATATTCACTTCCTGCCAAACTAAGTAGAAAAATATTCAAAAACAAATACAGAAATGTTGCAATTATGATGGGATAGTTTAAAACAATTTTTGTTTTGTTTTTCAACTATTTTATCTGAGTTAAATAACCAAACATGTTTGAGTAAATATTTTCAATAATTCGTCCGGGTGAACTATGGCAAAAAACAAAATCGCTGTTTACCCATTTACATTCACGATCATTCTATATAATATTACGACGGAAAAATAAATCGGTTTTTCTCCTTCTTCTTTTATTTGTCCCCGGGACCGGAACAATATAAAAGATATTTTCAGCGGTAGTCGGTGAAATGAATGCGGACCACGATTTTCATTAAATCGCGAACGTTTACTTTATAAAGCGAATAATGGGTGATTTTTTTTCAGGATTCCGAATACCGAATGTTTTTCCGCGATATTATATTAAATATCGGATTATCAGAATAATAATAATAATACAAAAAAAATAATAATATCGCAGTATTTGCGGCATTATTGTAAGACTTTGTGGTCGGCCTCAAGTGACAAAAAAAAAAAAAATAATAATAAAACCGTTTTTTCCATGAAAATCCTTTTGGACAACTTCGTAAAAAAAAAAAAAAAAAATTAAATACGACGTGAAATATTTTTACACGCCAGTCACGTGCAGCCACACGCCCGAAGGAGTCGATATGTGCATCGGAGTTATATTGTATATATTATAATACGCCTATGATAACGTTCGTACGCCTTGTGTATACAGAGGATGTACCTGAAACGTGTAACATTCATTTGTAACATACCAGTGTACAAGGTAAACAAAAGTTAAAACACTTTTTCCAGTTTCGGCGGTTCACTAATCCTAAACGAATTATATCAAAGTCAGGAATTTTAAATTTTTCTTTTTTCCAATAGTTAAATAGAATATAATATGAGCGGATTCTTCTTCTTCAATTAGCTTTTAAAATCTACGAAGGACCTTTGCTGTTTCTACCACTCCTCTCCTACACCTATCCATGTTTTTCCTGTATTAGATTATTGTTTATCGGGATATCTGACCGCGTCTACCCGTTTGTCCGGGCCTTTTCCCATCTCCCGGTAAAAACGTTGTTCGTTATACATTTATGACTTTAGATCTGCACATATAGAGGGTACCATCGCTGGATGATTTCCCTCATCATGTGCTCCATGTGTATATTTTATGTATATAGTGTTATATCAGTCATCTATTTTACTTATTGTGTTATGTAATACAGGTTGTACATTTTCAAATAAAAAAAAAAAAAAAGATCTGCACATGATATCACCGTTTCAACGCTTATGTAAGCGAATTGAAGTAATAAATTTAAATAAGTTAAATTTCCATACGTAAAATTTCCATTCCCGCAACGACATGCTGAAATTCACGTATCATCCCTGGAAGGGATGTTTGAATATTACCGATTCTCGGAATAAGAGAAATTAAATTTCGTAAAAGTTTCGAGGACGCCACCTTCTTTCAAGAGTTTCGATTTGTTAAAAATACGAAATAGTTCGGGGAAAATTCTACTCCTGTGATGGTGTTTCTATCTTCTCGACATTGCGTTCTCAGACTCGATTCGCCTCGAATTTCAACCACGAATCGACGACGGATCGCGTCTATGATTCAGACGTATATTGTGACGTTTACCCGCCCGGCGAAATTCTCTCGACCGCATCGAGCGGAACCCATATCGTCTCGAAGTGCAATTTTTTTTCGATGAGAGTGTCGGGGGTACGTCACAGTGGCACGCGTTATCGGAGAAGGGGCACGACGAGGGTAAACGTCACGGCTCCGGTTCAACGACCAGGAGAAAGGGAGGCAGAAAGGGGAGAACGGTATTAAGACAATTAATACGCGTGGGCGTAGGTGCGTACGTATAATAATTATAATTATTATTATTATTATTATTATTATTATCGTCGTCGATTTTTTTTTTTTTTTTTTTTTTTTTT